ATTTTAAACAATATAAAGATATTTTGCTTTCCGTATTATCATAAATTAAAAAACTTCTATTTTAATTTTTTTATACTTAAACATTATTTTCATATTTAGGAGAATCGTAGAAATATAATTTCATCATCATCATCATCATCGATAATCCTTTATGGCCTGTTCAAGGACCTTCCGCCATTTTGATCTATTCTACGCCTTGTTTTTCTAGTTCTTTATTTTTAAAGTTCTAATATTCTGCTTTATCTGCTCAATTTTCAGCTCATGTCCTCTTTTTTGCGTCTCGTCTTTGTTTGATTGATCAGGCCTTTCTTTCTAGATCACCCGCAACTAGTTCTTTTTTCCAGGAGTAGATAATTAGCCTTTTGCCCAACCCCCTATTCATCGGGGGATCATTTCTCCCTTCCTCGTTAGCTCTGACGTACCTTTCTTCTCATTGGGATTGGTTACCCAGTCTTCCATAGGGTTGCTCAGGTAACCGAGATTCACCACTGGGCAGTGAGGATAGAGATTAAACAGAAGAGGCCGGCACACAGAGAAAAAGGTTTCTTTGGATTTAGTATTCCTATTTATTTGACTAAAATTTGTTTTATTGAAACAACAAATGCTTGTACGAAATATTATTTGTTTGAATAAAAATTTTGTTGTTTCATTTGAGAAATCTCTATTACTTGACAGAAATAACATTATTATTTGAAGTAATATCTTTCAATTAAATAATATATTATTTGATTACAATGAATACAAACAATGAAACAAATTGTTTATTTGAAAATGGCAAAATATATATATTCATAGAGGTTAGGTTATTCCATGCAAATAATTGCTTTCTTAGAATAGTCATTACATTTTTTGACCGAAAATATGGAAACAATGGCTTATATGTCTAACAACAGAATTAAACGAGCAGTGCTATGTGCTACATCAATTATGTTTGTGCCGTACAGTTGATTACGCAAATACTGAAGATAGATATTATCTGTTCAAACAAATATTGTATTTAAGGCAAAGATATACATTGTTTCAAATTCAAACATCACACTTATTGATTCAAACATTGGTTTGTTTGGACCATTCCAAATATCAAATTTATTTGGATACGATAAAATTTATTATATCCAAAGAAATCTTTTTCTCTGTGTATATACATAGTCCGTTCTTATTTCAAGATCGTCTTATGTACTATCTTAAGATGCTAATACGGCCCATTGATTGATTCGTGACATTTTAAAACTATTTAAGACGGTCTTAAATACCAGAATCGACTATGAATACCGTTATATATAACAACTTATACGATGTATTGCGCATCACTCTTCCTTTTAAATTCCATAATATCTTCATTAGAATTCAAAAATATTTTATTCTTCGCATCCACCATATTCAGCATTTAATAAAATAATTAAATAATAAAATATTATTTCAATAAAACAAATTTTAGTCAAATAAATAGGAATACTAAATCCAAAGAAACCTTTTTCTCTGTGTACCGGCCTCTTCTGTTTAATCTGTATCCTTACTGCCCAGTGGTGAATCCCGGTTACCTGAGCAACCCTATGGAAGACTGGGTAACCAATCCCAATGAGAAGAAAGGTACGTCAGAGCTAACGAGGAAGGGAGAAATAATCCTCCGATGAATAGGGGGTTGGGCAAAAGGCTAACTATCTGCTCCTGGAAAAAAGAACTAGTTGCGGGTGATCTAGAAAGAAAGGCCTGATCAACATATCGTATTTTATATCTCAATTTTATTTCCATATTGAGTAATGTCATTTTCATATTAAATGACCTCCAACATTTTTAAAAATAATTAAATCGGTCACTGCTCTCTCTTCTTCTAAAAAGTTAAGCGAAAGAATTAATACAATTTAGGTGTTATGAAATAAAATAGCACTGTTTTTGAAAGTGGCAAACAAATTAGGTTTTATTTCTAATACGAGCTTTTCTCCGAATTTTTAATAATTAGTCACGTCAAAGCATTCTTTTTGTTCAGATTTTCAAAAATTGGCGGACAATGGATCTATTTGTGATTCAGAACATACAACAATGCTTTCTTAAAGATACAGGTTCATTGAATTCTGTAACATTGAAGCTTGGCAATATTCTTAATAAACCTTCATCGCTGTTTTCTACTGAAGTTTATAAAAAAGGTAAGATAATGAAAATAAAATTAAACTGCTGTTCATAGATTTCTTTAAACTTAATTTTTAGCACAAAGAAAAAATAAGACACTATAGGCTATTAGCCAACAAATACTTCTTTAGCGCAATGCATCTTTATACATAGTATATACATATTAATTATGTATGTACTTTAAATGCATCTACTTTAAATGTATTATTAATATATATTTTATGGTGTGTATTATCGCAGCGCCAGTTTTATTGCGCATGTTACATAATACAATTACCGCTGAGGTATTTCGAAAGGGTCTCATTACGTATTTGGCCAAGCAGTAAGTTTGTATAATGTAGTTTAACTATATACATTATGTGTATACATATATAATATATAGGTATCACAATATAAAGTATCATGGATATAACATAATACTTGAATTCATATTGAAAAATATAATATTTCAGAAATATGTATTAGGTACTTAATATTATATTAATATTCAATTATAAGGCCTACATTTCACTTTCTATATTTAATTATAATTTATGTATGTAGGTTAAATTAATCTTAAGTTAATTTTAAGTTTCTACATGTATACCTATTTATAAATTCAATTATACATTAATATTCATACAAATCCTTTTTGATAGTTAATTTATATTCCATGTTCCACGTCATTCATATATGACTGTATTGAAAAGAGTCATTTTTTAAAAGTCAGTTTAGCACAGCCACACCAGATGATTTGTGGAGCGCTATGCAAAGTGCTCTAGACGAATCTAATATCCCGCACGAAGACTACACAATAAAAGAAGTGATGGATACTTGGATGAATCAAGAGCGTTATCCTTTTGTACATGTGGAGCGAAATTACGAAACTGGCGAAGTAACAATATCACAAATATGTGTCCGGAAAGATAATGAAACTGAGAATAAAACTACTAAATGGTGGATCCCTATAACTTTCGCTACGCAATCCAATCTGAATTTCTCCAATACTGTGCCTCGTTATTGGTTACGACCAGATCGACATAATATAAGCTTTACAATTAATCCAAATGATTGGATTATTGTCAATTTACAACAAACTGGTAAGTATTGTTTAACAAATTTAAGTTTTTTTAGTTATTTTGTTTATTTTATTATTACTAAGTTCTAGATTATTCAATTTTATGTATTTCTTTATTTATAAAAGCTCAAAGAAAATTTGCATATTTAAATTTTTCAGATCTTCGCCAAATTAACGTAAAATAACCTACACAATATCCATGTCCAAAAACGAGACATAAAATTCCTAAAAAAGTCGTAATAATAATTTTTAAGAGGGTGTCTTCAAGACGTCTAAAAAATATCTTTATAAAATATCTTATGTTTCGATTTTGGATTTTTTATCGTCTGAAAATTTTTAATCCCCTTAACTTTCATATTTGAATATAATATTTGTATATATACAACGCATTCGCTTGTTACATTAAGAAAAGGCAAAATATAGATATTTCGGTAATTAGAATTTTAGATGGGAGGGAGAGTATTCTAAATAATTACCGATATTTTAAGATATATCTTATAGCGTTTTCGGCCCGGCCAGGTTTGCACCAACCTGGGTTGGATTAATGGCGTTTTGTGCTCTCCTATTGGTAGAGCGGGTGACCAATAGGAAAGATTAATCCAACCCAGGTTGGTGCAAACTCGATCCGCCCGATCGGGCCGAAAACGCTATTAAATTCAACTAAAAATATCTAGTAATAAATGTAACGAATAATGCAGGATACTATCGTGTTAGTTACGATATCACAAATTGGAAAAGGATTTTACACTACTTAAATAGTAAAAAATATACAAATGTACACGTTCTTAATCGTGCTCAAATCATTACTGATTCGTTTGCCATGGTATTGGATAACCGAATGAATGGATACTTTTTCATTCAGTTAATAAACTATCTCTTTCAAGACACAGATTACGTAGCATGGCAGCCATTATTTCAAATTATAGAAACTATGACAAAGACTCTTTTATTACCTGAGATCAAACTTTTCAAGGTATCGTACAAACAACAGTTAAAATTATATAAAGTATAATACGGATGTCCTAATTTTTTTTTCAAACTACAAATTGGCTGCATTTTCATAAAATCGGCAAACTTTTTTTAAAAATCAACATATTTATATAAAGTCATTATTATTTGCATATTTATTTATGTAATATATATTATAATTAAAACTATATGATTTTTTGTACTTGACGTTTTCATATTCCAAAAGTTAATATTAAAAAAAATATAAATACACAGTAAAAAATTGTGCGTCCATATGTAGAATTTTTCTTGTGTTATCACATTTTGATTACTACTTCAATGTAAAATAAACATACAACTGATATGTTATTATTTTTGTAACATTTTGATGTGTTAAATTCATGTCTCCTTTCTAACTTAACAATTGCGTATGTCAATTAAAAATGGAATATTATTTTGAATGTTTTTAATACAATTGTTTCAATTAATTTATATATCTCAAAGTCAATTTAAACTAAGAATTTTTTTATTCACATTATACGAACAAAAATGTTTTATTAACATTTTCTTACGAGTTACTGCAACTACTCTTCTATATGTACTCTACTTATTTTATATGTTAGTTTTAAATCACCCTTAAAGTCAAAATAACAAATATAAATGTAAAGTATTGTGTCAATTCTTTAACATCAATTAAAATCAATTATTTAACATTATTAGTTCGTTATTAAATAACACAAGACGAATGAGTTACTTTAACTTAAAATTTAGAATGGATCTCTTGGGATATGTAAAAATTGTTAAAATTAACATTTTCTTTTTTACTGTGTATAATAAAAAAGAACAATATAAAGTATTGAATATACAGCTACAAAGTGTAAAAGAGTAAAATAATTATTTTGTGAGGACGTAGTATTCGTTCTAATTATAACATATTGAATGCCTAGCGAATTTTACACATCTTATCATTTATGTCGTATTAAAATTACTATCACAAGTATATAATATGACATAATCTATGTAATATAAGTTATATCATCACAAGTGACATATTTTTCTGGTAAAGCATTTGTCATCAATCTTCGACTTATTGAAATGCGTCTATTCGATATTTGATTATTTATCGTAAGCATAAATAAGTTAACAACTATTATCAGTGACCTTTTCCTATCTTTCGTGAAAGTGAAACACAAATTCTCCGATAATTCCCATGTGATGTAAATCCATTGATAATGCACTAATGGAATCGTATATATCTTTATTATATGTAGATCCTTATATGCAGATCACAAGAGTATAAAAAAACCAATACACCTCATAATTTTCAGGTATACTTAAAACGACTCTTCACTAGGCTTTTTCAGTACATAGGATACGTAGAAACATCTAATGATGACCATATTACAAAACTGACAAGGCTGTATGCCTTACGATGGGCATGTATTCTTGGTCATGAGGAGTGTAAGAAAATGACCGCACTTAAATTAAGTAAACATTTCGCTGACAATGAAATTCACAAGTAAATTTCATACACTTACGATTATCTCATAAGTTGTAATTTGTAACATGTGCGTGCACACGCATGCATATGAATACGTTACAGCCGAACGTAAAAATAAATAACTTAATAAAATATAAAGACTCGGTTATACATATAAAATGCACCTATTTTATACGTATAATCGATGAAATTGTTCATTCAGAACGATATTGCTCGCTGAGCTTTTTTATCTGATTGGCATATTCCGTTACAGACCAATCAAATAAAAGAGCTCACTGAGCGCTCAGTGAGCGGTTGTCGTTCTGAATGCATCTAAAATGTATGTACTTTTTTGTGAAATTTGTTCGCATTGCTTGCACTTTTTGCACTCAGCATCTTCGCTTTTCCTCTTTTCAACGCCCAAATATATATATCATTTTAAGTTCAAAAATATTTGAGGATTTCAAGCAACGCGAACAGACCTGTGATATGTACGTATATTTTTAGAATTCCAATATTTACGTACTGTACTAGTATGATGGCAGCTAATAGGATTACTTGGGATAAAATGTTGGAATTATATCTAAAAAATAATCTAAAAGAGGAAAAATCTGGAAAACAAATATTAGAAAGTTTGAGTTGCGCTGAAGATCCTGATATCATCATAAATTATTTAAAAATAGCAGCATGGAATACTTCATTATTTTCCAATATGGAGTATTCTTTTATTTTCGAACATATTCTTGAAAAGCATGTGCGCAACAATATAATTCTTGACTACATATTAAAAAATTTTATAATTATAAAACCCATGTAATAATATTTTCTTTTATAAATATATATTGTATTTTTTTTTTCTTATTCGTAAAAATTTATTAATAAGGATTATATTATTTTGGATTATATTATTACAGATTACTTACTACGTCTGCAATAATAAAACTTATTCTTGAAAATATTTACACCAACGAACAAGTTGATAAGGTAAATTTTATGATTCTGGGTTCACATATTTCTTAACCTTATATTGACTATGAATAGCACATTAGTCCATACAACACAGAATCTTGCAGCAACATTTTTACAACGTTGCAATGTTACTGCAATATTACTGGATTTATTTATAGTGCGCTTAAAATAAAAACTATTCAATACACGAATTATAAATTAATGGAATTTTATATAATTAAATTAATGTTAATAAGTAATGAGATGTTTAAATATTTAGACTGTAATTTTATACTTTTGAGGAAAATTTCATTATAAAATCGAATAATACCAGTGCGTATTTTAAAATATTTATCGAATATTTGTAATTCATGTATTAATATTAGATTGATGATTTGATTAAAAAGTGTTAAGAAAAAATTTGCGATGACATATTTCTCAAATAAAAACAATGTTTTTATATCTTATATATTCTTTTGCAGCTAAAGTGTTAAATATATATTATCTGTTCATATCATACACTTATTTTAATATCATGTAATATTAAAAATTATAATTTAATAAATTAAATAATAAATAAAATTAACAAATAAAAATTAAAAATTATATCACGGTAAATAATGCCGATATGAGCCAACACAGGTGTTCGAGTGTGAATTACAAAACCATGGCATTTATTGAAAAAATGAATACACGTATATACATTTCAACCCTCAATTCGGGTCCTCTTCAGTACAATAAATTTAAAACGTTGAACACGCAAACAAAATTAAAATTGCAAATTACAGCAGCATTAAAAAAAGAATGTTCTAATACATAAGTTAATGGTCAATCTATTATATGTCCAAAACTTGTCAAACTTAGTCATTAAATTGTCGATTGCTACATAAAATTACAATATTTTTATATTGTTATTATGTCGAAGAATCACAAAATTATGAAAATTAATATCACTTACATGAAGTCAAACAAGTTGTGCGAATCATAAGCAACGATATTATTATTAAATTGTCCGATTTACTGTTTAGGACAAATATGAGAAGATAGGTCAGTATTCATTTTTTAAAAAAGGAAACTTTTTTTTAACCACAAATTAATTTGGACTTACATAACAAAAGAAAAAATGAAACTTCTCACAGTTTGCGTTTTCAACGTTTTTAAGTTTATTGTACCGAAGAGAACCCAAACCAACGTATGTGTTCACTTTTCCAATAAATGGTTTTGTAATTTACAATCCAACATCCTGTGCTGGCTCATATCAGCATCATTTATCGTGATAGATTTAATCTAGTAAGCCTATTTATTTTATTATTTTGTTTAAAAATTACAGTTTATTGAATTGCTACATAAAAATAATTACTATTTATATCTCGAATTAATCTGTTTCAGATACAAACATTCACAGATACTAATGTCATTCTAGATCCAGACACTTTATCTGCAATTACAAAACTAATAGAACAGCGTAAAGAATATCTTAAGAAAGCCGCAGATTATGCCAAGAAGCGGTTTTACTACACAGCAAAAGACATGCTCGAGTGACCATTGATCTGCGATCAATCAAAAAGCCGAAATGTGATGCAAAAGTTTTACAGTAAAACATTACATTTACTTGTATAACTTTCTAATTATTTTTATTTATTATTACCGTTTTGTGACAGTTATATTCTTATGGCAAATTACAACTAATTATAAGAGGTACATGTAACTTGAGATTTGCCTGATTTGAATACCTTTATGTATTGCATACGAATTTAATATTTTCATGTAATGTATTTATTTGATACCAAAATAAAAAGAACATGAAGAAAGAATTGTAATTACTCACCGACCAGATGCGCAACAGTGGAGTTACATCTGTAACGTCGCTACGATGATTCTGTAACAAACAAATTAAAATCTAAATTAAAAGTTATATCAGGTTAAGGAAATAATCATTATTTAACAAATAATTACTACATGAACGCATGCAGAGTTTTATGAAAAATAATTATGTAATTTTGAAAACAATTTTTATAGGTATCGGATTTTTTATTCGTCATTTAATTAGATATTTATGAAAATAATTATACATAATTCTCTAAAGGAAACAAGAAAAAATTTGTAAAAAGTTTTAAATTTTTAAGTTATTTCTCTTTTTCACTAATTATTATTTTTAAGTTAATGGCTGCGTTCAGCAGAGAAAGCAGCTTTGCAACTGTTGTAAAATTCGTAAATATGATTGGTTTATACATTTAGATTCAGTAAGGAACTAAGGGCAAGACCAATCATATTAAAGAATTTTACAACAGTTGCAAAGCTGCTGTCTCTGCTGAACACAGCCATTATAAAACAAAATAATTTAAGAACAAGCAAAAAAAAAAGATTAATTTTACACAAGTGAAAAATAATATTTACCGCAAGGTTGCTCCACCGATGCCCGATGTCTCCAGACCTTCTCCTCTTAAGCCTTGTGTCCACGATGCTAGAAATCGGTCCGAGACCTCGGATGAAAAAAGAATTGACCAATCGCAATGGTCATGTGATCAAATTGTTCAAATGTGATTTGTTAATTTTTTCTCTGTCCGAGATCTCGGACCGATTTCTAGCATCGTGGACACAAGGCTTTAGAATTGGGTTGACATCCTCTCGCACAGGACACTCGTGTAAAACACTCGCGAATAATATACTATAAACGCGCGCGGACTATTCATTTATAAATCTTTCGCGCGATACTGCGGTATTTCAAATTTACAAAATCCATGATAGGATTTCCATTTCGAATTGGACAATCTTGAATAAATTTCAAGGTTGGTCCCTCCGATTTGCCATCGCGTATCTGGAGTCTCTTTAATTCATCAGAGGTCACGACACTCTGAGAAAAGTGGACGTTGCTATGTAGTTTATATCCACTTTGTCAGAGGGCAGCATTTTGCGGTTACAGGTTTTGGGCCGTCATATCCTCTCTCAGGTTTCTCTCTGCTCTTTGTTTTTACTCCATCTGATCACATTTTTTGTTAGTCAGTTGGTACAAAGTTCTTTTCGATGGTGGCAATTCTGTCGTGTTACTAAATATCCAAATGCAAGTAAACGCGTGTGTGTCAAATATTTTTTGTTAGAGTTGAAACAATAATAATTTTAAACAAATAATGGCAAATTTTAGCGAAGACTTGTTTGATGTTTTTGATGAGCACGGCGATGAAGTAGAAATATTGGACATTCCAAAGTATGTGAAACAATTTTTGTCGCGAAATTTAACCTAACTTCTATAAACATTAATCTCATATGTGTATATGTGTGTATGACTACGGATTACTTATTTATAACAAATTGTGCAGGAAAATCAAGCCGGAGACAGGAGTAAAGCGACACTCTGACGCCGATGATGACAAAGCAACCATAAAAAAATTGCGACACGATTGTGTTTTGAATGATATCAAGTAAAATTTTACATTACGTTGATTGAAATATTCAAATAAAACTGTAG